GCAAAAAGATAAATTTTACACCCGATTTCAAATGAGTGCGAACTCTCGAATTTTTTTTCGGACGCTAAACTTTCACTCGAMVGKVATTCACTCGACCACTTGGTAACCTGGCACAGCTTGAAGCGGGTAAAATTATCCAAGTATAAAAACCATGGTTAATGTATGTCTGTGGGCTAAATTCCTACAGTCTGTGATCGCACTACAAAACGAACTTATTGTAAAAACTAGTTTCGGTTTAACTTAACTTTCTCAGCTCACAATTACAACGAAACAGTTGAAAAATAAATAGCGTGACAAACACTGACAAGCGCGCGCACTTAAAATCGCTTTTAGTGTTCGTAGGCTGTTCTTTGTTGATTTTACTAGTTTACTGAATAAAATGAAGAGGTTATCGGACGATATTCGGTGGAAGGTTATTTACCATGAACTTATTTACGGTTCAAGCATTAAGGAAACTTGTAGAGCGTTATTTGTAGAGAAAACTTTTGTTTGTAAAATTCGACAACTTTATAAACGTACAGGAAATGTTGCTGTACATACACGGCGTGGAAGGCCTCGACTTCTCACATGTAAGTGTCATTGTACACTTGTATTCAATCAATCAGGGTTTTTAGAGTAATACGAATAAGAATATATTTACTTCTTCAAAAGAAGGTTACATTTAAACACAAGTTACTTCGTTTTCAACCGTTAATTTAAACAACAGTGTTGCAATTATTTTTTCGCTTGCTTGATAATTTTTTTATTGTAAACTTAAATTGTTTACAAAACGAAAGAAAAGAAAAAATGTGTACTTTAGTTCAACATAAGAATATATTTTCAAGATGCAGAAAACAACACCCTCAAGTTCATGGTTCTTGCAAAGCTATACCTAATTGTGCAAAGTATTATTTGAATGCATTTGATGTTTACAAGTTAACTAGTTTACCTAAAAGGTATGAAAGTGCTGCCCGGTAGCTGCCACCGTGTGATCGGCGTTTGATGTGTTGTATGACTTCACTTTAGTATAGGCGGTTTTGCTGCATTTGTATTAAATCTTGTCCCGAATGCTATTCTGTTGTGAACCCTTATTATGGCAACGTCTTTTATAAATAGACAAGGGGGAAAAACAGACGTTTTCAGTACTGAATTCAAAATCATTTATTACAAAAAATTAATTAAGTGTCAGATTCAAATTTTTTATACCATAAAAATCAATAAAAACTACTCTTGGCACAGACGGCAATCATATTTGGTTGAAGAACTACATTTGATTCAAATAAAAGCCAGCGCAAAGTGATTTTAATGATGAATGTCGTTACATCTGGTTTTATGTGGCAAATAAAACCGGATGTAACTCAGGCTATTCCTGGCCAGACCGCAAAAATCAGCAACCCTACCGTTTGAGTAACGATCATTTGAATGAGTTTCGTAAAATCAAAGGCATTTTAGCGGCTAAGACGACAGATTCAGGATGCCTTCCAGATAATAAGTAAAACTTTATTTACTATCAACTATCATAGGTTGAATAAATTAAGCGACATCTCGACCTTATAGGTCATAATTTCAGTGAT